AGATCTCCTTAAGTCATGTTCATTTTCTTAAGTCCAAGGCTCCAACAGATCTCCTTAAGTCATGTTCATTTTCTTAAGTCCGAGGCTCCAACAGATCTCCTTAAGTTATGTTCATTTTCTTAAGTCCAAGGCTCCAACAGATCTCCTTATGTTCATTTTCTTAGGTCCGATGCTCCAACAGTTCATCTTAAGTTGTGTGCATATTCATTTGCTTAAGTCCGAGGCCCATACAGTTATTTAGTTCGTGCGCTCATCAAACTTCCAGTTCGTTTGTTTAAACGAGGCAAAACTTGGGTAAAGAACAATCATGAATGAAGAAAAACATTATATTAATATTTAAAAAGGATTACAACGGAGGGCCTCTGGCCATTACACAAAAGTACTGAAAAGGAAAACCTAATCTAAACCTGGCTGGATGAAGGCAGAGCCTCAGCACTTGGGGGTTCGGCAACCTGGGCATCAGTGGTTGCTTCCCCTGCCTCAGCATTTGGGGCTTCGGCATCAGCTGCCTCGTCCCCCTGCACCTCCTCAGCTGGGGTCTGAGGAACCTCGTCCACAAATTCGGACCTAAGTTGTGACAGGTCCAAGTTTGGATAAAGCTCCTCTGCCCTCTCCAGCACTTCGGCATAGGCGAAGTTCCTCCAGTACGCGCTGAAGCTTTTATACTCCTCTGTAGTGTGGAAATTGGAGATGTATGCCCTCACCGCCTCTTCCGCTGCATTCCGGGCCTCTTCTCTGGCAACCGAGGCGTCGTTCATGTACCACTTCGCCTGGCCTTCGAGAAACTGATTGGCATCACGAGCGCCGGCCAAGGCGAGATTCGCCTGCTCCAGAGCCTCGGCAGTCACCTTTTGGTGCTCATGGAGACCTCCACCTTCTTCGTCAGGGAGGCCACCTCGCACTGAGACTCATATACTTCCCTCTTTAGGGCCTCAATTTGGGTCAGGGCGGACTTGAGCTTCGCCGCTTCTTCACCCCTCTGTGCTTTGAATTCTTCGGCCTCGGCCTTAGCAGCTTTGACCTCCTCAACGAGCGAAGCAGCTTCCCCCTCCGAGGCGTGAGTCCTTGTTTGGAATTCACTTAATGCCTCCTTGCATTCTAACGCGAGGCCAAAGGTCCGGGCGCTTTGGCTCACCAGTGCCCTCGTGAGGTCGGTGGCATCACAAGACGAGGCATGTAGCTGCTACCTCTCCGTCCAGAACTTGTAAAAGCTCTCGGTGGCACCTCGAAGTTCCTCAGGGAGAGCCTCCACCAAAGCTGGGGCCAGCTCATCCTCCCTCCCAGCTAGGAAGTTTGGAGACTTCCCCTCCCAGCTCATCCTCCCTCCACCAAAGCTGGGGCCACCTCAAAATGGAGACTTCCCCTTCTCGCCTGGCAGCCTCTTCCCTGGCCTCTTCAGCCTCCACCTCCCTTACCATCTCCATTTTGATGGCCTTAGAGGCTGCAGCGAGAAGCTTCGACTCTCCAGTTTGTTCTGCCCTATGGGATACTGAAGTCCCAAACTTGCCAGCTGAGCTGGAGATGTGCACCAGCTTCCTCTTCTTAGTCTCTTCAGAGACTTTCTCCTTGCCCCGAGGCTCCTTGGGCTTCTCTGGCCTCTGAGTAGATGCCTCTTCCGAGGCCCTGGGAGTGCAGTCCTTGGACAGGCGCTCAACCCTACCTCGGACCTCCTTTGCCCCACTAGACCCGGGTTTCAGAGGCCTCGCCTTCGCAGTAGAAGTGGCCTTCAAGATGGAGGCCATATCCGGAGCCGGGTATTCCCTCTTCTTGAATTTGTCTGCAACACATGTCAGATTAGCATCAGCACCAGAAACATTAAAATTAAACATCAAGTGTTGGAGCCTCATACCTCTGGACGCCATAAGCCCGAAGTCCAAGAAGTATCTGCTTCTATCAATCAGGTGATCGAAGTGCCGAAGCTTCAGAGGTCTCTTGTAAATGTCCTCTATCGCCTCGAATTCCTCCCTGCTGAGCTCGAACCTCGTACTACTATCTGCAAAGACGAACCTTCAACAGTTAGACGAGTAAATACTCTGATTTCAAAACACAAGCAGAGATGGGGAGACTCACGAGCTTCGTAGTACTGGGTCGGCACTGTGCATGACAGGGTTTTGTCACCCTCCACTGCCTGCCATTTACCTCGCACCCAGAACCAGGACTCCTTCCACCCCTTGATAGAGGAAGGAAGTCCCACCACAAATGGTGCGTGAGCCCCCCAAGGCGTGAGGTAGTACCACCTCCTTAACTCCTTCCCAATTACCCGGGGCTGGAACAGGGTCATAAAGACATGAAGGGGCATGTCCTCCCCAAGTGAAACTTCCTTCCACAGGAAGTAAGAGCCGACCAGCTGGCTCCACCCATTCGGCAGAACCTGGGTCGACGACAGCATAAATTTCCTAAGCACCGCCCTAAAGAAGGGGTGCAAAGGAAGACGCATACCTGCTTTGAACAGGTATTCACTCACGGCCACGCAGTCGGGCCTCGGATAGCAAGCCCGCTCGTTCGGTTCGGGGACTAACATCTCTATGTTATGAGGCACACTGTACCTCTCCCTAAGCTCCCCCAACCTCTTCCCCGTTATAAAGATCCAAGGCAAACCCCACCCGTTAGATCAAATCTCAGTCAATCCGAGCCCTCCGTTCCAGATCCAATCCGAGGCGTTGAATTCAAACAGTCTTTGAAATCCTACGCCTCCTATCTATGCGTACCTCACACGCACCTCTCCGGCGCGTCTGCTTCTCAAAACGACGGCTGCCCTCATAATTGCATCTTTAATTCGTCGGCGCCAGCTCATTGGAAGTCGTAACGGTTCAGCTACCTTTCATCGAAAACAAGCAAAAAACATCAAATCATTGGCACAGAGACCAAAGCATAATCATTACATTGGACCTCGGCTCCTCATACGCCATTCAGCATTTAAGCCTCGCAGGTTCGGTTTCACACCACCTCGGCTCCTCATACGCCATTCAGCATTTAAGCCTCGCAGGTTCGGTTTCACACCACCTCGGCTTCTTCACGTGCCATTCAGCATTTAAGCCTCGCAGGTTCGGTTTCACACCACCTCAGCTCCTCATACGCCATTCAGCATTTAAGCCTCGCAGGTTCGGTTTCACACCACCTTGACTTCTTCACGTGGCATTCATCATTTAAGCCTCGCAGGTTCGGTTTCACACCACCTCGGCTCCTCACGTGGCATTCATCATTTCAGCCTCGCAGGTTCGGTTTCACACCACCTCGGCTCCTCATACGCCATTCAGCATTTAATCCTCGCAGGTTCGGTCCCCCCAACCACCTCGGTTCTTCAGCATAAACCTACACCAAAACTTCTCTAAACTCCAATCATGATATAAATATCTATACTTGAACTTGGTGGACTATTATTTGGGGGTTCAAAAAATTTTTACTCTAAAGTCCACGCATTACATTAATGATTATACTTGGACTTGGGGGACTATTGTTGCGTGTTGTCACACCTGTCCTACCCACCTGGGCCAGTGGCCCACTCATCCTGATCCACGTGGCATTCCTGCCGAGGTGGGTTATATCCGAGCTGTTTCTAACCGAGGCCCATGGCCCGATGCTTGGAAGCCTTTGGTTGTAGCTGAGGTCCTCAAATGGACGAAGCCCCGAAGTTGATGCGCGGGCCTCAACCACAAGCATCCTCCATGGTCACTTCTCCCAAGAGATCGCCTGCACGGATCTTATTCGAATGATTGATGGAATGTCTGTCATAAGCATAAAGGTCAAGTCTTGTCGCTAGCATGGAGGCCCTGCACAAGCAATAAATGCGCCGTAAGCTAGCGAGTCAAATCCCATGCCTAAGAACAGACGTTTAAACCAAGGAGATAAGGCCACGTGCCACTTCATCCAAGGGCTCCCATTCCATATGTATAACTATAAATACCCCCGTTGTATAATGTCAAAGGGCGAATGCAAGAATCAATACAAAAAACTACATTTTACTCAACTCTCTCCATTTACTTGCACTACATTTTACACACTTTTACACATATATTCAAGAGCACCGGTTGGTAATTATTGTACAATCGGATTACGAACAACCCGTCGGATCCCGAACGTTACCGTCCCGCGTCGTTGGGCTACTTCCACGCCCCTTTGAACCGCTCGTTTAGACCGTCCACGTGTCTTAGCGTGTTGGACATTCGCCCACGCAAGCGCGGGTGGGACCGGCATCTGTTGGCGCACTTTTTGGGGTCAACAAAAGGTATTGACGTTTTTCACAATAACATTGAAAGGTAGGGACCTTTTGTGCTAATTATGCCAAAAAAATGAAAGGTAATTTTTTGCACAATAATATTGAAAGGTAGGGACCTTTTGTGCTAATTACCTTTTGATTTAACGGAACATTTTAACGGAGAGTTGACAAAAAGACGTTTTGCGAAAAAAAAGGTAAATGTGAGGGTGCAATCCTCTAAAAAACGAAAGGTATGGACGTTTTGTGCTAATTACCCTTAATTTGGAGATGACAAACAAAAACTTATTCACCACATTGCCTTGTCTTGACCAGTCCAAAATCGTCCCCATTATTATTATTTTTTTATTTTATATCTTACAATTTTAATTATATTTAAAATAAATAAATAAATAAACGAATATATTTTAATCCAAATATCACCCGACCTAACTCATAGAAACCCTTGATGGGATGGGGACGAGGGCAAAGAGATTACATTTCGTACGAAAGTTAATAGTATACTGCTTGTATGAATAATCTTAATATTGCTTCTCTTTCGAGACTTGATTTCTGCCTGACAATATTAGCTTTAGTCAAATAATATTTTATCCATGCATTTTATAGAACTAATCAACATTAAACGTGCATTGCACATTATTATAAAATATTTTATAAGTATTGTAAAGATAATATTTGAATATTCGTGAATATTAATTAATTTAGAATTAAAGGCAGGAAATATATACATGACAAAGAATAATAAAAATAAAATGTAGCTCAACGTTACAACCCATGAATAATAAAACTAGTCTACACAACAAAACCAAACTTCCCGCCGCCGCAATCCACAAATAAATCCCACTGTCGCCTGCAAACCAGTAACACCGTTAGTCGGGGTTGGCGCTGGCGCTGGTGCATGGTAGTAGTGACAGTGATGATGAGGAAAAGGTGCCTGCACTGTAGATTGGTGGCCGGAGCCATGTTTATCGGACAGAACCATAACCTCTAGCTTTTGACCCTTCTCGCAATGTTCTTCAGCTCCACTGATGAAGAAAAATGGACCTGATTTTTCCAGTGAAATTTTAGTTTCTCCATCATGGCGTAATTTTATTGGATTGGCGTTGTAGTAGATTTTGTAGTCTTCCTCGGTCACTTCCAACACCGAATCAATCTTGGAATCATACTTCAAAATTGTTCATAGGAATAGAAAATCAGGGTGGGTTCTTGGAATTGAATCAAAAACCAGAGAAAATTTGGAATTAATTGTGACAAAAATCGAAATAAAAGTGACTTTTTAAAATCCCAAATGCATGCAACCACTTTCATAAACTCAACTATAAAATCAACTCATAAAGAAAGACACGTAAAAAAATTTACCTAATGAATCCCCAATCTAAAAACGGGTTTTCTTAGCCCATTTGTTGAACTCATCAACAGAAGATGGAACTGCCCATAAATTATTTTCACCGCCTACTACGAACTCTCTTGCTTCAGAAAGAACACACAGCAAAAAGACGACGGCCGAAAATAAGAAAATATTTTTGAGTGAAGCCATTTTAAGCGAAAAACCGACAGATTTTCAAATAAAATTTGGGTAATTTTGTAGACAATAGAATAGAATAGGATATTGGCTGCTCATCTGCACTGTATATCTATGTCAATGAGGGCTTGTGAGATGGATTATTATCATAAATGGGGTTTTGGAACGTTGAACGACGTTAATAAAATTCATAAATGTGAATTATTATTTGCCTTTATGTAGTAATTATCTTTTGAGGAAATTATTTAAGGTGGGCTAATCTAGAGAGGAAATAATAAAAAAATGAAAGGAGGATATAAGCACTCGATAATAATATGACATAGTGCTTACTTGTCCTATAGGGTGAGTGTAAGCTCGACCAATTTGATGAAGTATATCATTTGTGAGGAAAATAATAATATAAATAGAGGTTAAATTAGTTTTCGGGCATGTAAAGAATGTTTTTAATTGGATTTTTTTTTTTAATAAGATGGTAGTTCTTAGTTTGAACGTCAAAATTGGATTATTTCGAAATACTTTTCTTTATCCCTTTTATTTATTTATTTCATTTAGCGAGTATCGTACTGATTGACAATAACGGGCAAAATGCATTAAATGAGGAATTATTGTTTCAAAAATTTCAATAAATGTCTTCAACGTCTACATTGTAATCATGGGAAAATTAAGTGAATGAATTATGAAAGGATTATTTGGGAATACAAAACAACGGTATCATGTCTATATACCATTGAATGCTGATGACTCCATTTCGACCCTCGATACCTTCATAGTATCGATAGTAGATTTTATGTACCTGAGATTGTTCCCATATGTATCCATAGGCAAAGGTCGTGAAAAAAGTAGACCAGTCCAAAGGTTTCCTTATTTCCCACAGTGTTCGAGAACCTCAATAAATAAACAGAAATAATGGAAAAATTCACCTTAATTGCCAAAGCAGTGAGATTACACATCTAAACAGTTTGCAGGACATAGCAAGAACACAACAAACACATTTCATAGTTCAAGACATGGTCGAGAGATATCACGAAAATGTAGGAGAAGACCATAAATCATCTTTATTTGAGTGTCTTGACAATGGACTTCACATTGAGCTTCTTCAAATCAGTGTAAGACTGTCCACATCCAACGAACATGACAGGTGATCCTGAAATGTATACCATTGACAATGCAGCTCCCACCTATGCCACCATCGACCCCATATTGGGATAAAAGATACCAAAATATAAGTGAATAATGTCAAAAATATAAAGTACTCGGATACGACTATCATGTTTGGTTAAGCTAAAAAAGTTGGCTTATACGTAAGTTTACTTCTAACTAATTTAATTTGTAAATAAAGAGATCCCTCCAGAGCTTCTAGTTTAACCAGAAAAGGAAAATGAATGAGAAAGGACCTCACCTTATCATCAATAGTATCAAACTTGGTAAGCAGGATACCATCAATCAATCTGGGGTTGGGCGAGGGTGACAGGTCGGCCAATTTCTGTAGCGATATGAAGAACTGCTTATAACCTGCGGGTTTTTGGTGCGTTTGGGGGGATTTGTACAGCAAAGTCATTAACAGAGAACAATAACTGACAAACCTGATTAAACTTTGACAGCTGATCCACAGCATCATTCCCCACAAGCGCCTCACCAACAAACAAGATAAGATCTGGACTGTTAACGTCGACAACGCAATTGAAAATAAATGCCACTGCTGAGTTGAAAAATTATAGCAAAATGACATATTCCATAAAATGACCGAGGTATAATATTGGTTGCAAAACCCTACTTATCATCAAATCTAGATGAACAAAGGATTCGTTTTGACAAGTCTTTAGGCAAGATCATTTTGAAAACTACAATTCACTATCAAGCAGCATGTGAAAATTCCTTCATACCTGCATTCGACCAGCTGTATCAACAAGAACAACATCTGAACCATTTCGACTGGCTTCCTGTATTGCTTCCTTTGCCACAATAGCAGGATCTTTCTCATAACCCTTCTCGAATATTGGAATCTGATAAGACAGGCAGTTTCAAATGATTTACCACTACATTTCAGTCATGTTACTTCAATGCATCTACTGTTTCACATGAACAAAAGACTCTGGCTTCGTAATCAACCTGGAGTCTATGTGCATGAGTACGAAGCTGCTCAACAGCCCCAGATCGGAATGTATCACAAGCAGCCATCATGACTTTTATATTATGCTGCTGAAGCCAGTAAGCAACCTGCAGAGTAACAAATACACAAGGCGCATTAGACAAGAAGTGCATGTGCACAAGCATCTATTGTATTATTCCTTAAATTTACAGCACACTACCTTAGCAAGATTTGTAGATTACCCAACTCCATTTACTCCCACAAAAACCACAACATATGTTTTCCTTGTTCCTGTGCAGCATGAACATCCCTTAAAATGTCAATGGATCGTCTGGGGGTTAATATGCGAACAAGAGCTTCTTCCATTGCTGCCTGGTAGCATCAATGTAAGCCATCACGTCATTACATGCAAAGAGACACAGTTATGATTTGAGGGTAAAAAAGGAAAAAAGAAAAAAGGAAAGAATGAAAACTTGATTTGGTGGAGGGGTAGCAAGAAAATGTATTTCTATAGATGGTGAGTAGTAATTTGGGATTTTACTTTTGCTTTGAATTCTGCTCAGGAGAAATCAGTCAGACATGCTTGTGTACCTGCACTGTCGAAGAAATTCTTGTAAAAGAGGCCAGTTTTTTTCCCTCGAGACTTGCTGTTACTGATTCACAAAGTTTTGCAGCTATTTCCTCTGCCTGTTTAAGCAATAAAAGAAGATGACTTAGACGTATTGTATGAAATCCAACAAGTCTTACTAACAGAAGCTACAGAAACTTGCAGACAAATTAAAACAATAATATTCTACCCTTCACCTTTACATTTTCTTCTTTTCTCCATAAAGTATGGGGAAGGAACAAAACCAACACATAAGAATTCTAATAAAGATCATGTTCTGATGAAGGTGAAAATAAATTAAATGCATCAGTTATGAACAGTATGAAAAGTTGACATACCACATTCTTGGTCATAAGCCTGTCCTTGAGTGCCTTCGGTGCTGGTTCTAGATCGGCTTTCTCCAAATTTGCCTTTCCCGCAATACTGAGATCACAAGAATAAATCAAATAATGAGTTGGATGTGCAACACTTCACTTGACCACCAAAGATTAACATCCCTATGGGATTCACGCAAAATTGACACTATAGGATTAATTAACTGGTGACAAACAGCTTAAACCCAGTGCAAATGACCCTCAACAAATGGAGTTCTTCAACAATATAAATCTCGTTACTTTATGTATCTCTTCTAGCTCATCTCATGGCACGTGACAACTGTCAGACACAGCTATCGTGAAATAGTTGAAATGAAACTAAACCACATCAACTATCATTGGTCGATTTTAGTTAACCACCAAATGGACTCCATCTTAAAATTTAAGCAACATTTTATAGCCTCAAGTTCCATTGCAGGAACAGTGATCTTACACAGGTGTATGGAAATAGAATACATACAACAATTACCAATAGAAGTACTCTACTAAGACAAGCATAACAATATGAATGGGTAGAATTAACTACTTCAAAGAAGAAAAATGCAGAATTTTATGCTTATACAATTATTAATTTCGTAAATATTGCAGAGAGAGTTACTGCAAACAATTTGCAAGCGAGAACTCTGAGAGATGATGAAAGGCAAAACACAGGCAACCAACAAAGCCGTTTTTCTACGTGATCCATTATGACAACTTATGTTTTCTCTCAAAAAGAGCTTATGCTCAATCATATTGCACCATCTCTTCAATGACCACAATAAGCAATTCACTGAACTTGAAAATGCGCCAATGAATGAATAAATTAAATCCTGTGATACAGAATTCAGTTGAAATTTTAAATAACTAATGACTCAATCATATTGCACCATCTCTTCAATGACCACAATGAGAAATTCACTGAACTTGACAATGCGCCAATGAATGAATAGATTAAATCTTGTGATACAGAATTCAGTTGAAATTTTAAATAACTAATGATCCAATCCAATAAGTAAAAATACACTTAAAGCATCTCTATCTTCTTGTTTGTTCTTCTTGTGATCAATAAGAGCCAGCAACTTTATTTATTCAACGTATACTCATGGTCCTATATGATAGAGAGTAGTTAAAACTCTCAAGCCTTGATACTTCTCACATTTCTAGAGCTACGAAAAATTTAAATGAGACCCAAGGTACCACAAAAGACAGTACATTCTATGACATAAACCACACGAAAAAAAATTCTTAAGCCACCACATGTTCACGTCTATAACAGGCTATCAGCAACATACATGCATTTTTGCATTTAATAATTTAAAATGCAAAAAAAATCACATTTCAATTCATGTTGAAATGTTAAAACAACTACTAAAACATGGTCAAGTTCATACATAATGTCTCTCAAAAGAGTTGGGTTGACTAATGTAAAATTTGGAGCTATAACTCCTTTCAGTCAAGCAGAAGTTGTATATCTTAATTCAGAATCCTGTTCATTTAGAATTTATTTTTTTCAGTGAGAGGTGGTGGTTTTCTAAAAGCTTGAATTGCATAAAACAACCACCAAAATTTCTGACAAGAAAACACGACCATGCATACGGCTATTGGCAATCCAACCTCTGAATTAGCATATAAAGTAGCTGAACAGGCAGACAGACAAATTGTAACATCCCAAAAATAATAATAATAATAATAATAATTTTTTTTTGATAAAAATTTATTTAATATCTATATTTTATTATTTCAAAAGTTGAGGGACTAAGAGGTAATATATTTTAAATTCTTATACTTTGAGTCAAATAATTAAATTTCGATAAAGTAAATATAAGTATATTAATATTATACTCGTTGGATAGCTAGTATTTAATTATGAATTTTAGGCTCGAGAAATAGTCGATTTGGATAACCCAGCACCAAGAAATTTCGATTTGAAGAAATTGGTTTTCAAATTCAATTAAAACTTGGAAGG